ATGTAACTAAATACTTTTACATTTCAAGAACATGAAAAATTTCCCTTTTGTCAAATTTTTTTTTCAAGAAACATATTGAAACTTAATTAATTTTATACAGACGTTAAGAAAGGTCCAAAATTGACATGTTGGTAAATTGTAACAAAAACGACTCAATAAGATTAAGGGGCTGTTTGTTTCAAATTGTTTTAACATAAAATTCAATTTTTTTACCCTTTTTTTCAAAACATTGGGGCCTACTATAAGAGAAAGAGGTCAAAGATTGCGGCTACATTACTGTAGCAACAATAGGAATTCTGCTTAAAAGTGAAAACAAACAGGGGGCTAAAGAAGATATTTATGTGACGTAATTTATCGTGTCCCACCTAACCGAAATATCTCATTAAGATGACTCAATTATTATGTGGAAAAAGGCTATAAAAAAATGATGTGAAACTTACAAATTGAATTCCAGTGTCATTAAGTATGCCAACCCCAGCAGAAGCAAAGTTAGCACCAACAAGCAGATTCTGTCCCCGCAGCTCTGGGCTCAAGTATGGCAATGTAGCTTCCCATCCCATATGCTCACCTAATCAAGAAATACAAAATAATTATTTATTTTAAAAACTTGCTTATTTACTTATAAGAAATTTTCATTCAATGTAAACTTTTTAACTTTTCAAAATAACTTAAATGGTATGCCTAATACTACATTACCAAACAAGCCCTTAATGCAGTTTAATTCTGTCTAGTCGAGTGCACCAATCATGCCCTACTAGAACAAAAACGAATTTTACAGTTTCTCAAACTACCATGCCATGCATATCGAAAAAAATGAAATATCCAAAAATGAGTTATTTTGAGCCTGTTTGGCTTTCCTTAAAAGCTAAAGAAGCAGTTTTTTTTTTACCTCTTTCTCCACACTATGAAAGGTTATATGGCGGAAAAATATAGAAACGCGTAGCTTCTTTCCATCTTTCAAGCAAAGCCAAAAATGATATATAACGTAAAAAGTAAATACTATAGAAAGAAGTTTACTGATTATATCAGGAATGTTAAGGCCATTGGAGAAGCGGCCGGTGGGCTGATGTGTTGGGTAGTCAATGCCGTATGGCGGCTCATCCGCCCTAGCGGTGGTTATCAAGTAGTTGTTGTTGCCATTATCAACCAGAGAATCTCCAAACACAAAAAAAGCCTTACCATTTGCATGACAGATAAAATTATTTCCCAGTGTCAAAATGAGAATCAGAATATACCAATCACTACTGCAAGGAACTATGTCTACTGAAAGGCCAGCCATGAAATTAATTATTTGTGGAAATCAATAAAAAAATTTGGCTTGAAATACAAGAATATGCATTGGATCACTGCATGACTCTACTTATATATGATATATATGCAACTAAAATAATGGCCTAATTAATGTTATAATTAGTAGATTTAAGTACAATAATTGACACAAAGCCTTGTAAATAGTTAGCTTCCAACAATAAAATTGGCTGCTGTTAAATATCAAGTAATTTAGAAGAAATATATTAATATCAGAAACTTTAAAAAAAAAAAAAGATAAAATACAAATTAAATAAATAATCGAAATGGTCATTAATAAAATTTAAATGAATAGATGTGACATTTCAATTACCGCTTAAGGTTTTTGACGAAATGATTAACATGGTAATATAGCGTCCAAAAAACCAGAGTTAAACTCTCACGTCTCCCATTTATAAAATTTGTGCACGTCAAGGCATGTAACCCCGTCTCTAACACTGAATAAATCTTATTTTCACTGAACAACTTCATTTTTATGCAGTTAAGTAGAGAAGTTTTAAACTCTTCAACTGTCCCTATATGCATGGCTGTTGCTATGTATTTTAATAATTCATGGTCTCCCATAGCTAGGTTTATCAACTGTTCACATTATTTACAACTAGAACTCAACCAATTTGACCCCTTTCTTCAAGTTGAATGTGAAATTGAATCTTTAATTAATTAAAGTACTCAATAATATATGGTAGGAATTCACCATAAGAAACACCCAGCTATATCCAACTCAAAAAACACAAAAAATAGAATTTGAACATTGTCTGGTTCAATTCACTTATGATAAGAATTAAATCGATTCGAGTATCAATGAAAATTCTAGAACAAAATAGTTTCACGAAAATTCGATCCTTTTATGCACGTTAAAAAAAATTTATAAAATACTTTTTCCACTTTCGTGCTTTCTCTTTTAGTGTAATAGTGTTAGTTATTCTAAATACATATTATTTCATGTAAATTCATACCAATTAACTTGAAATTGATTTGATTGAGAGATTATAGTGGAACTGGACTAGAATCGCTCGTTTCTCAGTTCTAAGAACATCTTGATCCTTTTTGTTGTGTTTTCTAGAACTAGTTAAATTTTATATGAAATCGAACTAAATTGGCTATTGAGTTGGATTCTAGTATGGTTGAGTGTGGTTCTAGTCTTCTAGATAAAAACACCCACCGTAAAGTGTAAGAGATGTATGTTAAGTTGTTACGGTTCTACTTTTCCAAGAGAGAAGTGGTTTTGAGACGCGAAGATACGTAGAAAGATTCTTCATTCAAGTTATAAATGAATGTAGAGTTTCATCGTATTATGTATAAGTTTTATAGAGCAATGTCAATTCACGCGTCTAGAACATATATAAATTACAAAGAGTTTTTAAGGAAAATGGAAAACCTTATCCCCAACATTTGGAATTTCGAGTGGATAAGATAAACGATATGAATATGCAAAGTAAATTCTTACAAGTGCTATGAGACATAATCTTAATTATTATCCAATGACATTTTAAATATCGCATATGACACTTCTTTCTACTCAATGTGCCGAGTGTAAATCTATCTTATAATACGAGGTTGAGAATGTCACCTTGGATTGGATCTTTTTCCCATAAACCCAAGTGCGCCTTTTTGTTTAACAAGTGGATTTCTTTGTTTACCGAAATTTAAAAAGGAAATAAGTTCAACAAAATCCCTACCCCAACCCAAACCTAGCCCACGAATATAGCTTTATCCATCCACAAACCTCTACGCCTTGCCATACTTTTTCAGAACCTTGAAACCAAGTCACTCCTTTAGAAATCTCGAGGTGATCAAGCGTTGCTTTGCAAACTAAATGAGACATTATATGGTTTAAAACAAGCTTCTCGAGCTTGATTTGATTGTTTAAAGGCTTCTTGCATTCCATAGGTTTTGAATCTTCTTTGTTCACAGAGTTTACTAAAAGATCTGTAAGTGTTATGCCCTAAGTCCAATCAACTTTGGACATAAACACTTTGAATATATATATATAATCAATGCATATGTATGGCAATATCTATTATTTAATTGAATTAATATTCTAATAAATTAGAACTAGGAAAAACAACACAAAAACTAGAACTAGCTAAATTTTATATGAAATCGAACTAAATTGGCTATTGAGTTGGATTCTATACGTTTGAGTGTGGTTCTAGTCTTCTAGATAAAAACACCCACCGTAAAGTGTAAGAGATGTATGTTAAGTTGTTAGAGTTCTACTTTTCCAAGAGAGAAGTGGTCTTGAGATGCGAAGGTACATAGAAAGATTCTTCATTCAAGTTATAAATGAATGTAGAGTTTCAACGTATTATGTATAAGTTTTATAGAGCAATGTCAATTCACGCGTATAGAACATATATAATTTACCGAGTTTTTATGGAAAACGGAAAACCTTACCCCCAACATTTGGAATTTCGAGTGGATAAGATAAACGATATGAATATGCAAAGTAAATTCTTACAAGTGCTATGAGACATAATCTTAATTATTATCCAGTGACATTTTAAATATCGCATATGACGCTTCTTTCTACTCAATGTGCCGAGTGTAAATCTCTCTTATAATACGAGGTTGAGAATGTCACCTTGGATTGGATCTTTTTCCCATAAACCCAAGTGCGCCTTTTTGTTTAACAAGTGGATTTCTTTGTTTACTGAAATTTAAAAATGAAATAAGTTCAACAAATTAAAATCCCTACCCCAGCCCAAACCTAGCCCACGAATATAGCTTTATCCATCCACGAACCTCTACGCCTTGCCACACTTTTTCAGAACCTTGAAACCAAGTCACTCCTTTAGAAATCTCGAGGTGATCAAGCGTTGGTTTGCAAACTAAATGAGACATTATATGGTTTGAAACAAGCTTCTCGAGCCTGATTTGATTGTTTAAAGGCTTCTTGCATTCCATGGGTTTTGAATCATCTCGAATAGACACTTCTTTGTTCACAGAGTTTACTAAAAGATCAACAATACATATTCGTATAGGTTGATTATATTATTGTAATACGTGGTTTTCTCTTTTAGATTGGAGCAGTTGAACTGCTTTTTGGGCATAGAAGTCAAGTATACTAATGGAGAAATATACAAACATGAATGCAAGAGAAATACCAAATCCTCTGATCTCTAGCTCTCATATGAAATCAATGATCGGAGATCCCTTTGAAGATCATAAACTCTATAGAAGCAACGTAGGTGCTCGTGATAAGCCTAAAGATCTCTACCTACAAGGGTTCAGGGATTCTGAATGGGCTGCTGAAATCAACATCAGGTTATTGCTTATTTCTTGGAAATAATCGAATCAGTTGGTGTTCAAAGAAGCAGTCGACCATCTCTCGATCTACTACTGAAGCTGAGTATTGAAGCTTGGCAAATGCTGCTTCATAGTTAATTTGGCCTTGGTCATTGTTACATGACTTGAGAATACTTTGAACAAGAACACACATTATTTGGTGTAATAATCTGAGCATTGCAGGTTCTCTTTTCTTATACTGAGATAAGCAGGCTCAAACCATCGACATCTCCTTTAAAGTCCCTGCCCTGACTAATTCTACCATAGGACAGCCCACTTGTGTTCAGTTCTTTGCTCGAGAAGGTGGACAGGTTCAAAGAGAATAAATTTGGACATCGTGACTTTAGGAACGACAGGAACAACTAGAGTCAGGTGAACAACTAAAATCTGAATACCCATGCGGGGCAATAGAAGCGTAGTCTTGAGGTCTACAAATGATGAAATATGTCGAGTCACGTATCTATAAGTTGATATATTCCCGTAAATGGTGTATGATAGTGTGACAGCCTCACTTTCTCGAAAAACTTAAAGGTTACATGAACAATTGAAATAATAGCAACAAACGTGACACTATAGTTGTCATTGACCACACGATGTAACGGTTGAAATGCCCAAAACAATCATGCACTAGAGGTTCACAACTTGAGGTACTTACTTTTGAGGTGAAGCTCATTTAGTGCTCATTTTGATCAACTCTCCATCGTTCTTTGGCTGAGTGATATTTATATCCGTGGTGCTCCTTTTTCCAATTATGAAGTGTGACCAAGTGGCAAGTGATCTAACTCGCATTGGGCCTAGGCTGGCTGAAGATCAAGCCCAAACAAAACTCCAGTCATAATACTAGCATCTGATCCTCAAATTCCCAAATCCCCAAACCTTGAGAGAACATACCTATGAAAGCTTTTCGCTAAGGATTGACTAATAACTTCACTTGCGATTCTCTCTGTTCTATTGCTCAGGTGTTGATGCATATTTTAATGTTTGTTATTTTTGATGATCTTTCTTTTCGGCGGACTCCTCTTCTTGTTCTATTGATCGGAAGCATCTAGCAGCCGTATTGGCCCATCCTGAGATGTGTGCGCTTTTAATAGATCAAATAATTAACCTAAATAGATCGATATATATTATTTTATTGAAGTCAAATGATCTTGGTACATGGCTACATGCTGCAGTGTTTGGTCTCGACTAATTCGATCATACACTTGAGTTTGTCAATATACTTTGTGGGATTTTGCTAATTTTTTTTTGCATATATTTGATTTTTATTTATTTTTATTTTTATTGATCAATAAAATACCATATTTTCATTAAATTTTTAAAAGAATTTACTCCACTAAACATAAAAATTATGGTACAAAATTGATGTTTGATAGTGGATAAAAATGTCAAAATTAATAATTAGGTGGGTACTTGCTTGTTACATAGGTCATAAGTTAGAGACAAATATAGCAATTCTTAATCAAAATTCACCTCCGTCGTCCATAACTATCTCGCTTTGTATATCGCCGCTGCCGTTCCCTTTCTCCGCAATGAACTATCCGCCGCCGTTCAAAGGTCACCCTCCTCTCTCCACCGCCATCTCTCCACCGTCCACCCCTTTATCCGCTCTCAGCGCTCTCCTCAACCTCACAGACACTGCCCTTCGCTCCCTCCCGACACCTCTTCCCGCCAACGCCGCCTCTCCTTCTCTCCTTCAGTGCCCTTTCAATCCCAATCACCGTCTTCCCCCTTCCTCCCTTTTCTCCCATTTTCTCCATTGCCCTTCCCCTATATCTCTCCCTCCACTCCACTACCCTTACACTCTTCACTCCTCTTCATCTGCCGCCTCCACCACACCCCTAAACCAACTCGATCCCTCCTCTGACCTCTGCCTGTCCCTGGAAAACTTCCTTGATTGCACCAATTTTTTCTACTCTAATTGTCCTGGAGTCGTCACGCTTACTAACAATGAAACTTCAACGTCTGCAGTCTCACCTCCAATGCTCACTTTGCCTGGATTTTTATCGATTGAATGCGGAAATTTCAATAATAACCCCTCGAAGGAGTTGATGGGTTTTTTGGTAAACTCAATTAGGCTTCTGCCTTCAGAGATATGGGCGGTTGGGAATGAAACGGAAGCATGGAGTGGTTTTCCTACCGCGTATTCTTATAGAATTTTGCGTTCAATTCTGAGATTGCGCGATGATAAATTGTTGCGACTCCGCAAATGGATTCTCGCAGAATCGCCCAAGTACGGAGTGGTAATTGATTTTGCTATGAGAGATCACCTGGTTTTGCTGGTTAGGCTGTGTTTGAAGGCGATGGTAAGGGAGGCTTTTGGTTTATCTGGTTCTTTGTTTCGTGATGAAGAGGAGAAGACGGAAGATCAAGAGTTAGGATTGAGCAAAGGGAGTTTTGCCTGCCCGGTTTTGGTGGAAGTACTATTGTGGTTAGCTTCAGTGTTGAGCATATTGTACGGTGAAGTGAATGGCAAGTTTTTTGCCATCAATATGTTAAAGCAATGCGTGTTAGATTCTTCATTGAGTGCTTCATTGTTTCCTTTGGAGCATAAGGATTCTGAATCAAGTGATTTAGAGAGGGTGGATGATGAAATGAAGGAGTCACCGGACAGTAGTGTATCAATTGTCTATAGTGAGGAGAGTGAAAGGAATAGCATTGAACTTCCAACTGTCTGCGGCAGCACAATTCTGGTTTCCCAAGTGGCAGCTGCTGTTGCAGCATTGCATGAGAGGTCAATGATTGAAGAAAGGATCAGGGCTTTACGTGCATCAAGAACGCTGTCCACATACCAACGGTGTAGTTCTTGTTTTTTTCTCGTTAAATTCTTCAATCATTATGTTAGTGTTACACCCATGATATTACTAGTTTTGCTGTTAACAATTATTGGGATATATGTGATATTAATCCGGTGAAACTTAACTATTTGTGAGAATTAACTTCATACGCTGTCACATTATCCTTAACTGTCATAGATTTTTTTGTAGTCAGTTTTTCCCACAATTTTCATAACGAAAACAGACTTTGTATTTATCTGCACAATTTTTTGAACTCATTGAAGCTGATATGCTTCCTTTTGTTGCTGTTTTTTTTCCTATTTGGAGATCTTACTTTCTTGAGAGTCTAGTCTACTGTAACTTTATGAAAACATTTGAGTGGAAGCATCTTACAAGGATTATTGATTTGTAGTAATGTGGAGCATGCACATGTGTCCCACAAAGCTGACGAGGAAAGGAAAAATCGCTCGGACTATAGACCTATAATTGAACATGATGGGCTGCTTTGGCAGCGGTCGCGCAACCAGGTAAATTTCGATTACTTTACACATTTGTGAGATACTACTGGGATAGTAGCACTTCCAATTTTTTGTGATTATTTAAGTAGTTAAAAATCTGGTTCCCGTTTTCCTAAATCATGGAGTAATAATATAGAATGCATGAAGCCATGGTTTAAAAAGACGGTAGTGAGGCATGCCTCGAGGCAGTATTTTTGAGGCTAAAAATATGAGGCTCACGCCTCAAGGCGCGCCTCATTTAAAATTTGATTTTTCAATTGTATGAAAAGAAATAAGAAATGACCTTTCTTAAAAAAGAAAATGACCCATTTAAAAATGCATTTTGGGCCCAAACAAAATAATAAAATACCTAGAAAACTAAACTGCAGCCAAAAATTAGAGTGAAGGAAAATGTCACATTGCAATTGGTGGATGAGTAAGATGTTTTTGTAGAAATTGAGAGTAACGAAAAGGAAGATGATGAGGAAATTAGATATGATGATGATTCCATTAACGATGCTAGTAATAGTGATGATTGTGCAGACTATTAGGCTTTTTTTTTTTTTTTAGTTTAAGCTGCTTCTTTTTTTCCATTGCAAATGGAGAGATTTCTAACTTCTGTAATGTTTTTTTTTTCTAAACATCTTCTTTCTTTAGGTGGACTATATCTCAATATTCTAATGACTATATATCCTATTTACTATATGCTCCAACATTGATTTTTTTGTATTTTTATATCATTTTATAATTCTTTTACTTAGATTTTTTGCCTCAATCGGCCTCGAGGCCCACGTCTCGCCTTGTTAAAAAAAAAACCCCTCAATACTTAGTTTCGCTTTTTTAAACCTTGCCGATGAAGCTAAAGGGGAAAATGGAGTTGGGGCATGGCAATGTGGATACTAAAGATATCGTTGTCATTTGTCAAATTAGCATTTGAATGCTGGAAATTTTTATCTCATTTGTTAAAATATGGCGGGCTTTCTTTTGCCAGATTTTTTATTTTTTATTTTATTATTATTATTATTATTATTATTATAGTTACAACCCTTATTGCTATTGGTGCTTCTGCATCCAATTTTGTGGTTATTATTTTCATATATTTTTTAATCTACTCTTTTTGTCAATAGCATTTAAGGATCTCCTTAGTGGCTGTTTGGAGAATGATGGTACCTAAATGTTTTATTTTTGCTTTACACTTTACTGAACTTTTCAACTATCAAAAAGATTTGGTTTATTTTTATCTAAATATCTGATTTTGTTTCATTATTTCCCCCCATGATTTTATGTCCATCCACGATATTTTAGGATACAAATAAAGTAAAGACAAGGGAGGAGTTATTAGCTGAGGAAAGAGATTACAAACGCCGGAGAACGTCGTATCGTGGCAAGAAATCGAAGCGAAATACTATAGAGGTGAGTACCAATTAATTTCTTGTATTTCACCTGCTTTTACCTTACTTTGCACCTTGGCATGATTTTCGAATTGTATCATTCAATTCTAGAATTTGAAACAGTTATCTAAAATCTTTCTTTCTTTGACATTCTTGGACTATAATTTCAAAATGAAAACGGTTCATTTGTAATCTTAATGTTCAAGATGCGTTATGTAACCGAACGAGTAAGTCTTCTTCTTATCATATAAGTAAAATAAGCAAAGCTTATAAGCCTGCTCAATCTTGCTCATAGAGAGTCAAATTAGATTTCTAAATCCTTGGTGGAAATAGGAAATAAACTAATGTAACAAGTCCTGACATATCTGAAGTACAGGTTTCTTAAAAATAAGCCCTGTGAGCTAACAGCACTGCTAGTAATTTTTATTTGTTTTAGATCTTAAGACTTTTCCACTTGACAGAAATATAGGAATTGAGAAGAAAATATAATTTTCACTCTTCCAGGATATCATAACAGAATAGGAAATGACAATAAGCTTGCCCACTTTGGTATTCTCATTCTCGCATAATTGTTTTATTGTTCCTATTTGAATAAGTTTTGATAGTTTTACATTCCAATCTGAACTTAATCAACATTACATTAAGGTAATGAGAGATATAATAGAGGAATACATGGAAGAAATCAAGTCTTCAGGAGGTATTGGTTGCATAGGCAAGGGAATAGAAGAGGCAGAAGCACTTTCATCTGAAAAATTCTCAGTACTAGACAGTTCTACTGGCATTTTTGATACCAGGAAAAGCTTACCTGACATGGTTGAAGGAAGTGGAGGTCGATCACATAGTTACAGAAAAGAGTTTCATACTCGTTATGATTCAAAGGACTTTGAGGATGATAATGAGAATCACAGGCGTGATCCTAAGAGGCAGTATGGATATCAAGATTTTAATGCTGGTATTGAGAAGGTCAAACACAATAGAGATGATTATTCCAGAAGCCTGGATGGAAGGAATAGTAGCAACCATTCATGCGAACAGACACACAGTAGAGGAAAGAGAGATTATATAGAAGTTTCTGGAGAAGGTTCTTCACGACGTTCAGATCGAAGCCATAGCAAATCTCATGATCGAAGTAGTCATAAAAGAGAGAGAGATGAAGATAATTGGGAGCATAGAGATCGACGGAGAAGCAAAACAGACAAGGATCGCAGATCTGATTATAAATTACGAAATGAGTTTGTGGACAGATACGATCCTTCTCATTCTCATGATACTCATGGGGACGATGTCTGATTCTTCGCTGTTGTTTTGATCAATAAGATCTGATAGATTCGAGCAGATGATGACAATTTCATTTATGACATGGTGTAACTGGGGGTTCATCACACCCGGTTTAAATTTCTGGCTGGATCTTTCTGTCTCTTGGTAAGATGCTTTGTTTACATTTCTTCATTTGACTTTTGGGTGAGTAGAAAGTACATCTTTTAATATGTCTTGGATTCCTGGCTTTGTTTGTTCATCAAATGTTGCAGAAAGAAGTCAATCGGCTCTTTACAGTTTCTCTACACCTGTATCCTTCTCTGTATCCTTGGGGAATTTTTCTCTATATTGATCGTGCTTTAATTTTGAATGATGTATATGCTCTCCTTTTCTAAGTTTAACTAATATACACAATTTTCTATGTTAACTAACATTTTCGAATGTTAATATGCTGGTTTAACTAGCACTCTTAAACCTGAAAACAGCATCAGAATAGGAATATTTTTTTTTCTGCAATCAGAATTTAGATATTTAGACTCATTATCATTGCTTTTGATGTAACACCAGTATTTTTTTTATTTATTTGCTTTTGACACAAACTATTTATCATCGGTCATGTTCCTGTTTTGGTTAATTATGTCAATTCATTTTCTGTGATTTAGAAGTGTTTCAATTCTTGTTTGACCTTTTCACAGAATTTAGAAGTCTTCGAGATGATGAAATGGACACTGTAAATGGTGTATTGACCATACAATGTGCGACAAAATCCATATTATTTACTAAATGGTTGTTTGATAAAACTTCGCTAAAATAGGCAATCAAACTTCTATGTTTAGACCATATATTTCTTGCGACCAATAACTTGTATTAACTTTTCAACCACACATTTCATCAACTTTTATCAAAACTTGTTCAAACTTTTGTCAAAAGATTTGTCAAATTTGTAATGATGATTGATGTTACAGTGTATACTTCTTTTGATTTGTGATTTTATGTGATCTGGTGTATAAACATTCTTCATGGTAACTTAATATGTAGTTTTCTTGTAGAGTAGAAATTTTGAGTGAAAGATGGTTTTCTGTTTAAATATGTTTGATGAATCATAATTTATGGTTCCTCATGTAAGAACGACTATTTTTTTCTGTTAATGGTTGTCCTGTAAGATATCCGTGAATAAATTTCCGGCCTTGGTTCTTCCTTAGAAACCAATTGAAAAGAGAATCCAGTCTTCTTGGATGTTAATATCTCAACTGGTTGCAAAAACATGACGACATAGGGTTGAACCTTGATACAAGCTTATGGTAGTAAAAAATTATGTATTTTATTATTAACTTGTGCAATATTAGCTCATACATGGTATGTGAGGTGGTGTACTTCAAACTGCAATTCTCAAACATGTTTACTGCTAAATGGCAAATGCTAATGTTATGACTTTTTTGGTCCAGTGTAAAATTTGATTGGAGGGATCATTTGTAGAAACAATTAATTTGAGCATAAATTGAAAAGTCTATATCTATTTTATGGGATTATTTGAAAACTTGAGATATGCAGTGGTAATATTTTTCATTATTTGCCTACATTTCTAGTAAAAGCAATTTGTCGATTTGATAGTATAGATTAAGATGCTGGTATGATATTTCTTTACCTCCTTTTTAGATGGTAAGTGGATGCTTCTTCTCTTTGCTATCCCTCTGTACTTGTCAAGCTACTTGGTAACTCCTGTACCAAATTTCATTCATTTAATCTTTTTTTTTTTCCTTAAAATGCATTTTTGTAAATGGTCAGAGTTCTTAAACTTTTGATGTTCTTGTCCTGAGCCTGGTTTTCGGAATTTAGCCTTTGTATACCTATCCTCAGAAGCAGTTCTTACTTCATTCTATTATAATATGTCACAGTTTCAGTTCTGGAAAATTTTGCTAATTAGGCTTCTTTTCTTTCCCCTCCTATCTTCGGCTTTGTTTCTTTACATAGTGTTGTATGCTCTTGCAGTTCCGTTATACAATCCTGCAGCCATTTGAATTCAGTGGGCGTATGGGAATTATTGCTGGAGAATATAAGTTTACTTGAGGCCGTTCGAATATGATTATTGTTCTTTTTTTAATTTTAAAGTTTTTTTAGGTTGCAGTAGGGATTTATGGGAATGTTTTGTTCTAATATTGCTGAATTGGATGGTTTTGTTTGGTCTGAGGATTTAATTGATCTTAGTTGATATCTGATAATTCATGTTTTCTTATTGTTCATTTTAGTTGTACACTTCTGTGGAATATCTACCCGAGTTTTAACAGACGAATCACAATACCATGCCATAAATAAATTCTGAATGAAGGGCTGTCTTCAATTTTATTTATTCATCCAAGGATAAAGTTTGGTTAGGGTAAATTCTTTTGGTATTGCAAAAGGTCCATAGTGTAATACTTGTCCTCCGAGTAACATTAACTTCATTTCATTTGGATCTATATGCGTCGCGTGCCTGCGCAAAGCAAACGAGCAACAAGCCATCACCGTGTCACCTTACCCATTGCACTTACTCAAGAACTTTTTTTCACGATTGTTGCGATTGATCTACAAACATTAAAAAATCACGAGTGATTTTTGGTCATCGCATATGTTATCAATACTTGGAGCTTGCTTTGACATCACTTATTATAGAATAATGTTATATGTATATTCAATGGCTTATATTGTATTTGACATACCATTTGTATTCAAAAAATTGTGGTTGGGAAAAATGTTTTTTTTTTCTTAAAAAAAACTATACAACGTTGTATTGTTACGTAGTACAGTGTATACATTAATGTAAAAAATGATATACATGTGGCATGATTACTTATTATATTTGTGATATCCACGTGCAGGGACTCTCATGTCAACTCATGTACATGTCTAACAATCTTGTCATGAAAACACACAAGATTTTAGGTAGGATATCACGATAATGTTTGCATTGATGTAAATAGTACACAATCGATATGCAAGAACACGTAAGTCTGTTGAAGTAAGGGCAGAATAGTTACTAAGCGAGAATGTAAATATTATTTTTTTTATATTCTGTCACAACTTTGATCATTCTCACAACAATTGCTAAAATAATCAAGTCATTGGGATCTTGCTACGTGACAAGTAACAAACGCTAGTCGAACTGGTCAACATTGAAGTTTGAAAACTCATTTGTTACCTTTTACAAAGTTTAAGGACCCTTCTGCAATTTCTCCCAACTTTTATATTTGAAGGTTTCCACTTTCCCCAACTTTTCCATGAAGAAGAGAGAGAGAGAGAGAGAGAGAGAGAACCTAAAAACCTGTCCATTCAAATCTCCCCATTTTCCTCCGAAGTACAATGAGAAATTTCTTCACCGAAATATGCTTCAACCATAAACATGGCTTCTCTCTTTTTCCACAACTTTTTAATAGAGATTTTTGCCATTATCTTAAGGGTCCTTCATTTTCTTGGAGGACCCGACCCCGTCCTCCTCCCATCCCCCTTTTTTACAGATGCATTCTTTCCTTAAACTCTTCATATTATTATACATCTTTCCCTGATCAAACGCAACCCATTTTTTTTTTCCTGATGATCTTTGTCGATTTACTATCTTACGTCTGTTAAATGAATTTTGTTGTTAAATTCGTAAGAAGTAGAACCCAGGAGAATTTTTGCAAGATTTTTCACAGCCCTCCATTGTTTGAAGGATTTATTTCTGTTTTTCGAGAAGTCTGAGGTTTGAAAGTCACGGAAAACAAGGACATTTTTCGCAAGTTTTATTTGTCTGGCTCTATTGTTTAAAGGACTGTTTTATTGAGAGTTGATTTGGGTGGGTGAAGAAATGAGTTGCTTCCCATGTTTTAGGAAAGCAAGTAACGAGGAGGAAGATTTGCGGATAGCCCAGGCCAACTATATCACTACACCGCCTCCTCCTGGTATGCTTTATTAAACAAATTTTCATAGAATGTAATAATCACAGATATTTTCAGATTAATTTGTGGTAGAGAATCGAATCCCCACGAATACCTCAGTTTCGCACTTTGGAAGATTTTCGGAACCCTTTATGCCTTGTTTGATATAAGGATTGGGAAAAGAAGCAAACATCTTGTTCATTGTATCTTGTAATTGTGTCTGGTAAAGGACCACAAAAGGAAACTAAAACTTTGTCATTGTTTTGTCTAATTTTATCCTGCGTACCAAACACGAACCTGTGGCCGATATATTTTAAGCAATACGCTCGAAATGATCTTTTGGAGCATTGCATAAGATAAGACTGAACATGAAATTGGAAAACTTCAAAACATTATCGAACACTGGAGAGACTACTGTACTACTTGTTGCAGTCACAAAGATTTTCGGTGTGGATGTAGTTCTCTTATAGACAGTTTTCCACATTTAACATTACAAAGACTAAACAAAAATGAAGAATATTTGACTATCCGTATTGATGCTTCAGTTTATTGAATTTTTCCGATACTTCTGAATTCCATCAACTTGCAAACTTAAGGAAGCTGATTGAATGTACAACAGATCACTTTGATTGTGATCAAGTTTATATGCTAGAGCACTTTGAATTTTAATTTTTTATTAACTTTTGACAAACATGTTCGAGGATATTTAAAAGTTTTGTTTTCAGTACAAAATATTACTTCTTTTCATGTTCATCTTCTTATTTGAAACAAAAATTTGATGTAACTTGTTAGTGCGGTAGTAGAATTATTAAATTTAGAGACAATGTAGTTATGCTTTTCTTATGAAAGAACTTTTGAGCATGTTTATGAATATTAAGCTCCCGTTTGACCATCATTATTTGTGAAAAGTAGAGTTTTGAATGTAATTTTTAGAAGAATGTGTGGTTAAAAAGTAGGGAAAAAGTTCTTGGTTTACATGTAGAATATTTTGTTGTGTAAATGTGTGGTTAAAAATGAGTACGTAAAAAAAAGAGTTTGAAAATAATGGTTGTATAACAGGCGCTAAATGTAGTTTTCTCGTGAATTTGTGGGTTTTCCATTCCTTTTCCGTACTTTTTTTCTCAAAATGCCGTGTTTGATGCATTCTCCTTGGGTTGATTCCTATCTCTTGTCTATTCCTTGTATAAGTTTGTTGGCTTGTTATATAACGATGTTTTGGGGAGCATATCACATGATTGGAGAAAAGACAAAAATATTTTGAAAAATTCACAGTAGCTTCTTAATATTGTGCTTTCTTCTTGCCCAGCAAATAGCAAGCAAGCTCCAGTAGCTGAAGCCATAAACACTGATCCTAACGCAGAAGGAAATTCGTCGGCAAGGACATTCACTTTCCGTGAACTTGCCTTTGCGACAAAGAATTTTCGTCAAGAATGTATATTGGGGGAAGGTGGATTTGGAAGAGTGTTTAAGGGGACACTTCAGTTGAGTGGGCAGGTAATGTGGACTACAACTGTGAGCACGATCGGCTAAGAGTAAATACGTTGCTTATAAGTTATAAGAAAACAAGTTCTAGAATAATTATTATTATTTATTTATTTGTAAATAATTAAGTTTTATGTACGGATGGTAACTTTAAGTCATGAAAGTAACATTTTTAATCTATAATATATTAAATATCACATCAAGTGAGAATCATTTTTTGAATGATTCTAGCCCTACTATAATTTAATTATTTCAATAATCCATAACTTTTCGTTATTCAATATGTATTGAATATATTTAACCAATTAGTTACCATCAATGTATATGTACATTTGATACATTCATTTCACATATGTGCTTTCATTAATATATAAATTCTCTATTATTAATTCTCAATTAATTAACATTAACATTCACATTCATTTAATTGATGTTTATCTTCATTTATACATTTCAGTGTTATTAATTCTAATTATAACTTAATTAGAATTTCACATTCAAGAATGCATTTCATTATTCACGTCCATGTATGCTAATTAATATCCAGTTTTATTTAATTGAAAATTAAATAAATGATTTAACATTTATTGTCACGTATATATTATCTGAAATTAATTCTAAAGTAATTAAAATTTGCACATATTCAAATGTTACTTTTACGGCACTTATAAAGCATTTCATAATAATGTGTAACGCACGTTCAACGTTGACTAGTTTACCTAAAAGTTTTTTTTTAAAAAAAAGTAAGATAGATAAACATTGTTGGAAACAATCTGGTCTGGTTACCATTAGTTTTTATGTGTATCTTATTGCACCTGTCTATTTTAATAGGTTGTTGCTGTGCGGCAACTAGACAGAAGTGGAACACAAGAGAGCAAGGAGTTTTTGGTTGAAGTTATGATGTTGAGTCTTCTTCACCACCCAAATCTGGTCGATCTGATCGGATATTGTGCTGATGGAGATCAAAGGCTTTTGGTATACGAATACATGGCATCGGGTTCTCTGGAAGATCATCTATTTGGTAATTTTATGTATTGCTTCTTTTTAATTGTTTCATGAGTGGCTGTTGATTAATAAAGCACAGAGACTCTTTATTGGGAGCCCTGTCCATGACCGACACATATTAGACTGCAAAACAAGTGATGTGCCTATCATATACTAAAAATATTTAACACTTGAGGGACACTTTGGAGTCATGCCATGTTGTGTGACTTATATTGTAAAATTTAGAATATAATGCTCAGGAAATTTTTAATTATTAAAACATTTGTCCTTATGAGATCATGTCCTAGCTTTTCACAAAATCAGGTGTTATGTCGCATGCTCATGCTTACTAGCCATTGATAACTACTAATTTAATGTTCATAAATTTATTTCTTTTATCACGGGGCAGAAATTTGATATCTAGTCATTCACTTGGACTGAGAATGATTTTTTATTATATTTGCAGGCACTTCAACGGATAAAAAACCTTTAGATTGGTCAAAGAGAATGAAAATTGCTTTAGGTGTCGCAGAAGGACTTGAGTATTTACACGAGAAGGCCAATCCCGCTATCATATATCGCAACTTAAAATCCTCAAATATCTTGTTGGATCAAAATTCCATCCCGAGACTCTCGAATTACGGGCTTGCCAAGCTTGTCCAAAGCGGAAATAAGATGATGGGAGGTCATGGTTATTGTGCACCCGAGTACGAAAGAAATGGTGAATTGACTTTCAAGTCGGACGTATATAGTTTTGGAGTTATCTTACTAGAGCTTATCACGGGACGAAGAACCTTGGACACGGCACGCCCCATAGAGGAGCAGAATTTAGTTACATGGGTAAGTACGTTAGCTCATGTTTTCCGCTTTTAATTTGATGCAGTGCATGTCTGACTAAGTTATAAATAGTTACTTATTTATAAGTAAATAAGTTACTTTCCTTGAAAGTAAACTCTATCTTACTGTCAGAATAAGTAACTTTAAGTTACTTTTAAGCTTAGCTTAAGATTGTTGTAGTGTTTGGTTGTAAAGGAATTGAATCTAGAAATCGTTATCATGTTGTCTACACAAATCTGAAAATAGATTTTTCAGTTGTGACTAAGAAGCCTGATTCCAAACATCCATAAGCATTGTAAATTTCTTGTATATGGTTGTGACTAGCGAGGATTGCAATAAATGATAATATCAAGAAAGAAAGAGAAGTTAAAATATTGTCCTTTATACCGTTGAGTGTATGAAGTCCCTAATTTGACTGATTTATCTGACTGTTTAAGCATTGTTCATACCATTGAACAGGCACAGCCCATTTTCCGGGATCCGTCAAGGTTTCCCGAAATGGCAGATCCGGTTCTTAAAAGGGAATTTATGGTGACAAGTTTAAATCAAGCTGTGGGAGTTGCAGCCATGTGTCTTCAGGATGAACCAATGGTCCGTCCATTGATCAGTGACGTTGTAGCTGCTCTTAGTTTCCTTGCAGTGGCTCCACCTGATGCACCGGTACCTGCACGACTTGTTCCTCTCTTGTCGTCCCGGGTGGATACGTTGAGTCATAATAGAGATAATCCGCATCACGAGGACAGCGACATTTCTGTTCCTGAAAAGGAAGATAGTTCAGATAGTGATGATGATGAGAAGAAAAAAGACGAAGGCAATAAGTCTCAACGTAAAAAGAACTTGAAAGAGCAGGGCTCGAGTTCAAGCAGCAGCAGCTCCAGCAGCATTGGATCGAGAAGTGATAGTCAGTGCTTCAGCTTGAGGCATGACAATAATCACGAACCTGATGATTATACTGATGATTCAAACAGTGACCATGCATCCTGTAGAAATGAGCTGCACGAGGATGTGCATGATGGAAGTGTGAGATCCAAGGATCACGATTCATGTTCTGAAGAAGAGGAAGATGATGATGATGATGATGACGACGACGACGAATACCATGAGAGCCATGGATGGAAGTGATACTGTATATTCAAGGCACAACAGCAATGTGTATTCTTAATATGGAGACGTCAGTCCATGTTAAGAATGACAAGACGATTGCTTGTTAAATTTGGGCATTTTATGCAGTTGTGTTGTTTAGATTTAAACACTTTTTCTTGTAAATTATAGATTTTTGTGCTATCACGTCGAAATCTTTTGAGTGAACGTGTTCACTAAGATAATATGTAACTTAAAATAAAATCATATGCTTACTAGGACCAGAAGCAACATTAAGTTTGAAGTCTTTGTACAATTGCATGGTTTGGATCAAGAGAGCAAGATTGTCGACTTCAGTTGCTTGTTTAGTAAGGTGAATTAACAATAATCAAGTAAGAAAAAAAAAAAGAAAAGATTTTATGTTGTTAGATTATTATTTTTGAATGGATAAACGAATCAAGTTGATGTTATACATACGAGTGAAGTCCCAATATCTCTTTTGGGTTTTGATAGAGAAGAAACAAGATTGTCTAGTTGTGTTGCTTGTTTGGTAAGATATTTGGTTAGATTATTATTTGAGTTGACAAGATGATAATACTCTTAAAGCCTCGTTCGGGGGGGGATTAAAATTCAATTAAAATTGAAAATATGGCCGTTATTGGGTTTCACTCGTCTAATAAAAGTCAACAATAACAGCTATATTTTTAATTTTAATCTGATTTTAATCCCTCCCAAACAAACTTAACCCTTGTTTTTTAGAAATTTTAATTTAGATTTTTTTTTAATTAAGGTTCAAGTCATTAATTAATTTTAACCAGTCCACAGCTTTTAAATTACATATTTCATTAATTTTTATCAAAATTTGCTAAAAATCTGATTTTAATTTCCACCAAACAGCGATTTAGTATTTATCATTCCTTTCACCTAAGGGGGACCATTTGGTCGAAAAAATAAGCAGGTAAATTTATTTTTCCATTAAAAAAATTTACGTTCTTAATTTTGTAAATGACAAAAAAACAAAAAAATGACTTGTGTAAACGTTAAAGTGCCACGAAACCTTTTCTTGTTCATTAACGTTTGGGTTCATATTGATACAAAGCACTATTGCCATCGTTTACTTTTCAGTACAGTGTGCTGCTTCTGTGGGGGTACTCTGTCTGACACTAAAAATCCTATCACCTCTCTCACTGTAACGATGGCTGCCAGCCTTCCATTCCCTCATTTTGCAACCCCAATTCTCCAAACCAAAGTCCATAGAAAAAGATTCAAACCGACAGTTAATCCGAGATTAAATGGTACTTTTTATAAAGCTATACGTACAAACATATAAAGAAGTTTATGTGTATTGATTTTGATTTAATTTTTATTTTTTGTTGGGCTTATTTGTTCAGGGAGTTGTGCGATAAGCTGCTCATATTCAAGCAATGGAAGAGAGCCTGACAGTGGTGGAGACGACGGCGTAAAAAGCGTTGAGAAACTTCTGGAAGAGAACCGTCGAGCCGAGTTTTCGGATCGTATTGCCTCCGGTGAATTCACCGTCGAAAAATCCAGGTACCCCGGTCCTTTATCATTGGAAAATTGGGCAAGAAAAGGGGAAAATAATTGAATTTTCACATTTTAGAAATCTTTGAAGGCTTGTAATGATCAGGGTATTAAAATTATATTCAAAAGTTGCACCTTATAAATTTAATTAGGACTCCATTGTATTCGGAGACGAGTTTGTGCCTCGGAGATAATTTGTGCTTTGTTTATGACTCCTTCTTATTGAATACTTACTAAGTTATTGTATTATTTTCTTTAACTATTGGTAGATATAAATGAATATAATGTGGAACTGTGATGAAAAATATCAAAGAATTATCCGTATTCCAGAGTGCAGTTTATATTTTTGCAATATCAATTTTCTAAAAAAATTTGTCATTGAATGTGTCTGTTATCTTTAAAATGGACAGTATCCTTACACTGTCCTTTATGTAATCAATATGCAATATGAGCTGAAGATCTTTTTAAATTGACTGTGACGAATATATGAATTCAGTTTTTTTTTTCTATGTGGTTATTTGCGTGTGTGTTCTGTGTAATAGCTTTCCTGGACAATTCAGAAATGGTTTGTCAAAACTGGGTGTGCCTGACGAGGTTCTTGGATTCTTGTTCAAATGGATGGGTGGCCCTGAGGATTATCCGAAGATTCCGGAGGCAAAAGGGTCAGTTGGTGCAATTAGAAGTGAAGCCTTCTTTATTCCCCTATACAGACTTTACCTGACTTATGGTGGAATCTTTAGACTAACATTTGGTCCCAAGGTTTGTTTTCTTCTTCTATTTTGCTTTTCCACTATTTCTGGCAATTTTGTTTCAGTAACCATTTTTGAGGTTGTGCTGCAGTCCTTGTTGATAGTTTCAGATCCTTTAATTGCCAAACATATATTAAAAGACAATTCAAAAGCCTATTCAAAGGTAAAGCTACTGGACTAGCTCTCTTGTCTTTCTTCCTATTATTTAGTATTTTTGCTCTTTGATTTGAATTAAAGTTAACTTCTTCAAACTGTGCCAGGGTATTTTAGCTGAGATTTTGGATTTTGTAATGGGGAAGGGACTTATCCCTGCTGATGGGGAAATATGGCGTGTTAGGCGACGGGCTATTGTCCCGGCATTGCATCAGAAGGTATTATCAAGATGGCTGCAAGACTTTTTGGATGTTACCCACTTAATCGTTACTTCTCCTTGAAACCGAACTATAAATATATCAGTGAGAGGGAAAGCTGGAGTTAAGATTAAAATGCTTCATTGTTTTTCATGTTTGACATCCTTCTTATTCTGCCATTGATATCATTCCAAAATTGCCCGTTGTAGTTTGTTGGTAAAATGATTGGCCTGTTTGGAGAAGCAACAGATAGGCTGTGCAAAAAGCTTGATGTTGCTGCATCGGATGGCGAGGATGTGGAGATGGAGTCCCTTTTCTCCCGTTTGACGTTGGATATCATTGGAAAAGCTGTATTCAATTATAATTTTGATTCTTTAAAAGTTGATACTGGAATAGTCGAGGTACTAGCTTTTACTTTATGTTTCTTTGAGTTATTAAAACGAATCGCTTTTTTGGTATCCCTCATTGCCGTGAATTTTAAAGAAGCTCTAATGCTTGCTGTTTTATATGTCATTAAATTTTGAGAAGAGCAGGCTGTATACACTGTCTTACGAGAAGCAGAAGATCGGAGTGTCGCTCCAATTCCTTTTTGGGAAATTCCTATATGGAAAGATATTTCACCAAAGCAGAAAAAGGTTAATGCGGCTCTGAAACTGGTCAATGAGACACTTGATAATCTGATTGCAATATGCAAGGTAAAGTTTGTTATATATAAGTGTTCAACTGAATAAGCGTGTTTCCCTCCTGATAAGTAACTTTTAAAGCAGCATCAAACCCATTGGGTATAATCACCTTTTATTATTGTTATTATTATTATTATTATTATTTTTTTTTTTTTTTAATTATTTTTTTTTCCAATTCTTACAAATTTTTATATGATGGGCTCCTTTCTTTCTATAATTGTTCAACTTCTTTTCACCTATACCGCATTCTTATGCACTTTCAGAGGATGGTAGATGAAGAAGAGTTGCAGTTTCATGAGGAATACATGAATGAACAAGATCCTAGTATTCTTCATTTCCTGTTAGCATCCGGGGACGATGTATGGATCGGTCATATCTTGTGATGTATCTGTTGCCAAATGAATTTACTGGAAAGGTCCTTATGCTCTAATTTTTAGGTCTCGAGCAAACAACTCCGTGATGATCTTATGACAATGCTTATAGCTGGACATGAAACCTCTGCTGCAGTGCTGACATGGACATTTTATCTTCTTTCCAAGGTATTGACCTGGTCATTGAAGTTTCATTCAGATGTATTGACATGTATGTATGTGTTTTAATGCAGTGATTATGACTGTCGAAGATTAAGAAAATATGCAACTAAAACTAGAATACAAGTTCATATATTTGTTCACCCACCCACCCACAGAATAATAAGTATACATTGTTTAAGAATTGAATTAAGTATATTTCTCTCTTTTTGTTCTTAAATTTCAGGAACCTAGTGTCATGGCCAAGCTTCAAAATGAGGTCATTTTCTTCTTTGTCAGTGGGATCTTATTGATAAATTAGCTCTTCTTTGGATCTGTAAATTTAAGTTGTTACCTTATATCTTAAAACTTCTGCATTAGGTTGATTCAGTTCTCGGTGATCGATTTCCGACCATTGATGACATGAAGAAGCTCAAATATACAACTCGTGTCATTAATGAAGTGAGAATGTCCTCGAACTCTAAATACAATTTACTATTATAACTGCAGTTCTAATATCTCTATGTTTTTACTTTTTCTTGACTTTTCCCTACCACTTTACAGTCCTTGAGACTATATCCACAGCCCCCGATTCTTATACGGCGTTCTCTTGAGGAAGACATTCTTGGGAAGTACCGAATTAAAAGGTTAACCCAAAACTAGTATTGGAAACAGATATGCTATCTATTTTATGCATTTACATGTATTTTGTTTGATTCATGTTCCTCTATAAGTATTACAAATTAGTGCCTCTGCATATACGTACATACAAAAATGCCAATTAAATAAAGCTTATATTCAGTTAGAGAATGATACTGATGAGAAGTTCGATGATATTACACCAGTCTAAAGTATGGAAACATCTGATTCCAATAAGGGGAATGAGCCATATGCTCATGGTGGCCAAGTGATAAAATGATTATTGACTGCTGTGTACTGTGGAATAATAATCTATTTCCTTTTACCTTTTTATAAACCTTCAAATTTAGTAAGATAAAGCTTCTCATGATTACAAAATTTTGTTTTTGCAGGGGTGAAGATATTTTCATCTCTGTCTGGAATCTGCATCGCTGCCCCAGCCATTGGGAAGATGCTGACAAATTCAGTCCTGAGAGATGGGCTTTAGATGGGCCTAATCCAAATGAGACGAACCAAAATTTCAGGTCTGATTTTTTTGACTACCTCATATAAAAATGTCAATCCACTTCG